CTTGGCTGGGCAAATTTGCCGTTGTTCAAAACGGAGGCTGACAGCATCTGTACCGACTGCTTTTCTCAGCTTTATGTGTGGCAGCAAAACCTGTATTTTGAAAGGGAGCACCAAAATGTTCATTCTTGCACTGAAACTTTATTATGTCTGCGTTCTGCTCTTGACATACTATTGGAAATGAGCTGTGAATACCTGATAAATAGGGTTAATAATTTCGAACGGTGCCTCAGCTCTACCGGCAGCACCGTCAGGCTGCTGCTGCAACGCAAAAGGATTTAAAGAAGGGGGATGCGAGCACAACCAAGTCTGAATAGTAATTCTTATTTTTATGCTTGAAACGCTGATTTAATCACTGGTTTTCTCCATTAAACTACTTTATATCGACATCTTTCATTTTTCTGTCCTTTGAAGGTGGTAAATATGATTGCCGTTTTATCCATTTTTGTTATAAATGAACCAGACTTCAGAGCGTTTGGCTGTGCATCAGTTGTTGGAATGCTGCCATACACTAATGCAGACTCCCCGCTGAGAGCCCAGTGAAGAATTATACTTTGATTCACCAGATTGTATTAAATAGTCCAGCTGTTGGGATTTGAAAGATAGTTACCTCCAAAGTGAAATAAAAATGAACTTGGCATTTATGGCTTTGACCATTTTTATAGTGTTGGGCAATCAGCTTTTCAGAGGTAGCACTTTTTAAAATAACCCTCTTCTGGTTGCGCTGCTTTAAAAAGTTTAATTTGCTGTAACGTTCAAAACACCTCACCTTGTATTTTCTGGAATGATTGGCAACTTTTGCATAAAATAAGCATTATTTTCCTTATGAAATCACTGGCTTCTGATGATAATCAAATGAGTCTGAAACCGTACCTATTAGTGCCAATTTCTGTGTTAATTAACTTAGACCGAAGTTCTAGTGCTAGAGACAATTCTTGCAATTAAAGCGCGAGCGGGAATTTCGCTGGCTCTGTCCTGTGCTTCGGTGGCAAGCTGAGGAAATCCTTCCTGAAACGGAAAGTGCAACAATTGCTGTTTCTGTGATGATTTATTTGCTTTTAACCTGCGCATTCACCCTCTCCGCGTCAGGTGGGAGCCACTGCATTCCCCACCCTGCGCTCGCTGTCGAGTGGGGTGACCTCTTTTTTCCTCTGTCGTTCGCTCTAGGACAAAGGCTGTCACAATAAAGGGCGGATCAGAGCAGATGGATCCAGTAGCTGAGTTTCCTTCTCTGGCCTCCGGTTGATTGTACCTTTGCCTTGCCAGGGGTGTTACCTTAGCAGTGCGGGAGGCCGTTCTCAGGAGCGAGCGTGACAGATCTGGGAAGGAAAGAAACCAAAGAGGCTCTGGCGTAGGACAGTGGCACTCAGCAGCTCTGTGCTTGGGTGTCCCAGGGTGTGGAGCCCCTTCCTGTGCCAAGGCGTCTTGCCCCCGTCCCGCTTGGCAGCCGCAGCTCTGTCGGCGCAGGTGTCGGAGCGGGGCTCGTCCCGTGGCGCAGGGCCCTGCCGAAAGCTGGTGACACCCCCTGGGGCGCCGGGCTCTGGGAGCTGGGTGAGGGCAGGCATCAGCAGCGCAGCAGCGTTAGCGTGCCACAGGAAACACCCTGATCTGCGACTCGTTGGGGTCCGGCCTTCCCGTGATTGCCTGGTGCTGCTGGTGCGTTCCAGCTAATCTAAGGATTTGCCTGTGTGTTTTCAACACTAGTACAAAGCTCGTGTGTACAGAGAAGTGTGTTCAGTGTGTGTTGCGTGATGCCGGTCTCCACAGATAACCCTGGTGTCTCTGACCTTTCCTTGCTCTCTCCGCGCTCAGAGGGCTTTTTATCCGCAAGTTCCCGCGCTCCAGCGATCAAGACGTAACCCTGTTCCTGCAGGGCAGCGAGCAGGCCTGACCCTCTCCACAGCAGCAAATCTAGGGGGTGAATTGTCTCAAACCATCGGCGCTGGGTCCCAGCGAGACCAATAGCAGCCTGTTGGTGCCCAGCCATGGTGGGAAATCTGATTACGCTGCCTCTGCCTCCCTGCCCCGCGTTGGGCGGCGGGAGCCGGGCGGGAGCTCTGCGGGATGGAGGTGTGGAGAAGCAGCCACCTGCTCCTCGCAGGCTGACGGACTGTTAACCTGCAGGAACCAGGAGCCTTTTCTCTGGGTGCAACTCCTCCGCTGGGCACAGGGGAACCCAGATCCATCTCCCAGATGAGCAGAGATGAAAGAACTCAAGGCTGCCTTTAAACTTCCGTAGCCTAAAGAATCCTTTCAGTGCTTTGTGAGTTCCTTTTTCCTGTTGTGTCCCCCGTGGGTGGCGGAACGGCTCCAGGAGGCCGTGTGACCGTTGCGTGTTGCGTGCTGCTCTCTGTGTAACAGCTGCTAAATCTATGCACCTACTGCCTAGTTAGGTGCACCCGTCCTGGTCGTACGTGCTGCTGATGACACACGTGTGTGTTCCTAGTCTGCCTCCTAATCATGTGACCCGCTGCCTGCATTCATATCTTTATTCTTTTCCCCTTCAGATCAACTAGTCACACCGAATTTACAAGAAAAGCTTCTAGCAGTGAAAACGAGACAGGATCCGTTGTAGTTTTAGATCCTGTTACCAGCAGCGGGGATCAGCTGTCCACAAACGCGCTGGACCGGAGCAGAACGAAAGAAGGAAAAAGCAAGACGCTGCAGAAAGAAGCTAATGCTGAGAAAATAAAAGAATCGGACAGTTCTAGCTGTTAATTGTTGTTCTGAGAGGCTGTAACTTTTGGGAACCGTTTTTTGGATGTGGAAATTGCTTTAGGTGTGTTACTAGGGGCTGCGGTCTGTATACGACGGACTGAAATGGGTCTGTCTGCCGTTTGTTACATGCTTTGAAGTGTTCAATAACTGTGTATCACTCAAAATCCCTTTCCCATTTTAATTTTGCAGGTATGGCTATTATTTTTTTTCGATAGTGTCAATTCCTTTGACTTTAAAGCGTATTTGAAAAGGCTTTTTTAATACTGTTTGATGGGCAGATGCCTTGCTACAGGTCCGTTCTGAAGCCTGCCAGAAGCCCCCTGCACCCCCCTCGGAGTGGATGGTTGGGTTAGACCCTGTGAAGGTGGTGACACCCACATCAGCGTTGGTGGGGGGGGTGTTACTAATTACCCAAAACAGATGGGTGTGTAGGCACACTGCTTTAAAAATACTTTGGTGTCCACTGCAACCAAGATCTCGCAGGTCTCCTTACTGCTGTCCCCTCCTCCCCACCCAGCTCTTCTGAGGAAATGAAAAGCACAAGCGTAACACTTCCCTCTCCAATTCCCCTGCGGACAGCGAGCCTGGAGACTGCGGAGGCAGCCCAGCACGGCACTTGGGTGCCGGGAGTTCGGTGACGGTCGCCAAAGCCCAGAGTTTGTGGGTTGAGATTGGCGCTCTCGTTTGGCTTAGCTTTCCGGAGGAGGGCTCATCCCGGTGCTTCGGTGTTCCTTGGCAAAGCGTGGAGCCATGCAACTGTGGCCCATGTTTGCTGCTGCGAAGAGTAAGCTATCCTAGGCTCCCGTGAGCATGGAGCGTTTTGGGATTCGGTCACTGCAGGTTATTTGGAATCAGCATTTTGGGAACTCCCAGCCGCACCTTCGCAGCAGGAGCAGATCAGCTTTGCTCCGACCCTGGTGCGCGCCGGGGCGTTAACATCTTTATCGGGTGACGCGTTAGGTGTCGCGTTTGGTGACACAAATCCCGGCTTCCCTCGGCCCTTGTTTCCTACGAAGCCAGTGACTTGTACCACTGCCAATTCCCATTCCACTGTAGTTGCTTTTTAAATTCAGCACAGCGGCTGGTTCCTTGGAAATGAACAAACCAGTGTAATCAGGGATTTACCTAAAGGTCGGTGTAACTCCAGTTGGGCGGTCAAGTACCTGGATGCCCCTGGATTGTTTATTTGATGATTCCAAACGGTGATGCCGTTGAGGGATGAGCGTTGGGAGTTTGTTGGTTTGGCTCTGCATGCAACTGTCTGGTGCTTTTCCGAAAAATAAAATGATAGTAACGAGTGTGGTAGTTTTGCATCATTTTTTTGGTGTTTTTTGCATGTTTGCTGAGAAAATCTTGGACTTGATCTAATCACTGAACTACATGTAATTCCTAAACTTGGGGAAATTTGTCTCTTACCAATATCTTCCTTTCTGGGGGGCAGTTGGTTCTGCTGGTTGATTTGTCACTTAAGTACTGTTACACTGAATTTAAAATGCAACATTTTATATATGGTTTTTCCTCAAATTATTGCTGATGGATTATACATTCAAGTTTTCCAAGTATACAAAACCCACAAGTTTTTAAGGAAGCATTTCTTTACTTAAACTGTTTGTTACCTCGGACACAAATTATTTATTTATCTTTTCACTGTTGCTTATTAAAAAGACTCCTGACAAGTTTCCCAGACCTTGTGAATTTGACTTGTTATTCCCGGCCCGCGCCTGAAGCTCGCTTCCTCCTGCTGCCAATTACGGCTTTGTGCCCTACATTTGGGGTTCGCGCCGAGGCGCTTGTATTGATAGCTACAACTGGAGCAAAATTTCCCTTGTAGGCTGGATCTAAGAGCAGCATTGAGGGGGCGGCGGGGGATGGAGCAGCATAACAGTCAAGGCCTTTGTTTTTTGTAAAATGTTGTCTGTTCTTTTTTTTTTTTTTTGCTGTTTGTCAATAGCTTGCTCTTTGTATGCAGAGAGATTTCCACTTTCCCAAAACAAACATTTAGTTTTGGGCTGGACACAGAGGTATTTGTTTCGTCAGTTTGTAAATACAGCGCAGGATTTCGTGGTATTTGTAGGCACTGCTCAGTTAGCCTGGTTTCAGCCGAAAGCTGCCATCGCCTGGGAAAGGAGAATCGGAACAGTACGGTATCGGTAATAACGGGATCTGAGAGCTTCTGAAATGTTGGGCTGAAGCGTTTGAAAATGAACAGACTAAGGGATAGTTAATCTGTTAGTTTCTCACTCAAGTGCTATTTAGGAATGTACCTAAAGGTTACTCTGGACAGCCTAGGTCCGTGCGCTGTCCCGCGGGAGCTGAGCAGGCGGGCTGGGAACTGCGGGGCTGGCCGAGCGCTGCCGAGGCAAGGGATCCTGCCTGGAGGGAGGAAGTACAGCAGGAAGTTGTTTTTCTGGCTGCGACTCGTCAGCAAAAACAGTGAATTCAAGGTTTGCTTCACCTGAAATAGAAGAGAAAAAAAGAAGCTGTAGTCTGGTTTCTTGCAGTGCGTTTGGGTTTTTTAAAACTGTCCGATGATGCTCACGTGAGTCTCTCAACACCTTTAAGAATCTGGCCCTTAGAGACAGGGGAGCCAGAGTCCTGCACGATGGTTACAGGGTGAGGGCATGGGGCAGTGCAGCGTGGGCTGGGATATTTACTGCATTCCCTTCCTCACCGATCCTCTCGCCCCGCTGCGTGAACACCCGACTTCCTCGGCACGGGTGCTCCCACCGCCGGCCGTGCCCCCTCGACTCACCTGCTAACCCCGTCAGCCCACGCCCAGCCGTCGCTCTTCTCGCTCCCGTTTTCCCCAGTCTGGGTGCTGGGGGTTCCCGAGGGCAGCGTCACCCCCAGCCGTGACCCCTCCCCGCTGTGTGCCGTAGCCGCCCGCCCGGCCGCGTGAGGGGTTTGCTGAGCAGCTCTGAGGTGCTGCCCCGCTGGACGCTCCTTCTGCCCGAGGAGCAGCAGCGGGAAGCGTTGCCGATTCGCTTTATGAGCTAGAGGTTTAAATGTCTCCAACTCGAGCACTTCTGTTCAGGCTACACCACTGGGGCAGGGAATACACTAAAGCTGCGGCAGCAGTTAAAATCCACAGGTCTGTAATTATCCATCCTGGGTTTGAGAAGTGCATCCAGTGGGAAACTTTGTTAGCAAAAAGGAATTTCTTTTTTTCTATTGTTTTGCAATCTATGAGTGAGGGGCATATCTCGAAAACTCGGAATATCTTCAATAAATGATTTTTTTTCCCAAATAAAAGCTTGGTCCCGTGGCGTGCACTGGTCAGGTGCCGCTATCCTGTGCACAGGACGTGGGAAATGGATTAGAAACAAGAGGGTAAAATGACTTCATTCTCCTTCCCCTTTCTTTTGCTTAGGCTTAATAAATTCTTGCAAACCCTTTCCTCCCTTTCTTCCTCTCCTTGTCTCTGCCCCCCCTTCAGGCCGTATGCCTCGATTCTCTCTGGATTGGTACCTGAGCAAGTGAGAAGGGGCTCTAACGAACTGTTAGCAGGGTGTAAGGTAAGGAAGATGCCGATCCCAAACTGCAGGCAGATGCACGCAAGTGGCGAAGGCTGAATGTGCATCCTCGACTTGGGGTTTTCTTGGGGTTTATTTAGTGCCTGCCCGTGGAACTGCAGCTTTCCAAACACATTTTGCTGGAAGTGCAAGACACAAAAGTGGGTTGTGAAATGAAGTCCTGTTAGCAATATATCTTTAGGGGCTTGAGGGAGGTGGGGTATTTGGCCTAAAATTCCATTTTGGCAGCCTTTCGGTGTGTTACATGCGTGGGTTTTGTTTTGTTCCTTTTGCACTGTGGGCTTCAAGACTCCAACCAATTAGTTCTGGAAAAAAGCTTAATGTAGGCTACTCCTCAAGAAGGGGTCCATTTTAACATTCAGTAAACAGATAATCCATTAGGACAACAATATACATTGTGGCAAGTGCTATCCTAGGTTTTTTTTGTCAGCGCTTATTTATAGCCTTTTGATTTCGCTTCCCTCCCGGGGTGCGGTTTCAATCATTCTCCCTCCAATCTTTGTTCTCGTATTCATTGCAAGCTGAAAACAAAGTAAGAAAGAAGCTCATACGTAGCGTTCTATTCTTGGCCAGTTCTTCCTCTATAGCAAGAAGGCGGTTGTATTTGGTCACCCTTTCGCCGCGGGAAAGACCTCCCAACTTGAGAAAGCTGGCACCCAGTCCGACAGCCTTAAACGAGAAAGTGCGTATTTTACGCCGCCGTTTGGGAAGCGAAGTCATTCTTAATTACTAAACGCGGTAGCCTGCTTCTAATTTAACACCCTTAGCTTTCTACGGATAAAACCCCTCCTTTCACTAGAAATGAAGTCTCTTAACGAAAGATTTGTCGGAGGCAAACAATAATTTTCACTGGCGTATGAAACGAAACGCTGTTTGCAAATGTGGCTGTAATACAAAAAGACTAAATCTATTAGTGTTAAGAATTTTTGCCTAAAATATTATTACTCCTCAGAAATGTTTTAAGTAACACTTTTTTTTATAAATGAATACAGCCAAATAGATCATACGCTCTTGGGGATATACTCCCTGCTTTGGCAAATTTCCTGTGTTTAATCTCAAAGATTAACTCTCTCTAGGGAAAAAAAGCAACTCTCTAGAAGAAACCCATTTTGTAAAACATCCTTTCTTTCTCAAGCAGAAACAGGCTTTCTCCTTAAAAAGTAGTTCATGTTAAAAGCAGGGTTTGGGCAATTGTGCAATTGAACAGCTTTCAATACTTACCAGATCCACAAGGCTATCATCACAAGATTCTCCATCTGGACTTCCTAATATGGTAATGCGTCTTTGCCCTACATAAACGGGAGTGTAAAACCTTCATTAGTGTATATTTTATATATTTGACACAGAAATTGTTCGGCGTTTTCATTCCTTTTTACCTTTGGGCTGTGTAAGCTTAAATACAAACGGGAGTAAAGCCAAGGAAACCCGTCTCACAAAGATGTAAACCCTTATCAGTTTGCTACATTCATATTACGTTTTATTTCCAGCCTGGATAAGGGAGCATCCTGATTCCTGGCTCTGGCTGATGTGTCTGGTAATGTATTCCACGGGCTCGGAGGCTGTTCTATTTATTGTAAATGTGCTCCTTACTAGAGCAGTGATTTTTCTTCACTGTAACAAAAAGAGTTTACCATCACCACCAAATGAAAGCTTTAAGTTGCTGTTTACTCGTTTTGATATAGTGATTCCAGGCTTTTTGAAGGAAGAAGGAAGGAACTTTGATATATTAAATTTGTCTATCTATTTCTTGGGTGTAAAAACAGATAAAGACACATTGATGCAAAGAGCAGTGTTAGATATGACACTCCCCAGGTTCTTCGTACCACAGAGGCTCAGTAACACGTTGACAACCATCTATACAAGCTGCAAATCCAAACGTTTTGGACTCGCTTGGATTTCTTAATACTAGTATCCGTCACAATCCAGACTGCTCAACTCCATCTTTTCCTCTTGTAACTGGTACCTAACTGTACGGCACTCGGCGGCGGTGTCCAAGGGCACCCGCACCCAACGCATCCGCTGTACGCGTTTGCTATACCGGAAGCCTGGAAAGCCGTTTTAAGCTCCTGAACGGGCGTTTGTGAGGCAAAACATGAATGTTTGTTTCTTTACAACAAGCTCCTTCTAAATTAGAAGTGGCAATAATGAGATAAAAAGCTGTAGTATTTACAGGTGTAGCAATGCTGTTTATTGGCCCGTTGGGTGTGGAAGTGAGCCTTTCCCCACCCCACCCCCCCCAGCATTACTCACATTTTAGAAGTCCACTGAGTTCCGTGAGGTCTGATACCGTGGTTTGGTTAATGTATTTTAGGACAACGCCACTGCAGGTTGGTATGTTTACGTTTGGGTCAATTTTAAGTTTGGAAACACATGTGGCAGCATCTTCAGCAATCAGGTAACATTTGGAGCCAAGAGCACGACATACGTCATTCCATTGTTGTCGGTCCTGCATAAACAATCAGGTAAATAACTGGAGTTTAAAAAAATAAACTGAATAAAACCCCTCATTCAGAATTTTAAAAAATTCAAAGTTTGGATTTAATCCTCAGGATACCCTTCATACAACCATATTTTATACTGTATTTTAAATCTGTCCACCTGAGAAAAACATACTGCTGCGATTTTGCTAGGATTTTAAGATTTTGCTATAAAAGATAAATTTGACCTGGAATTAATCACGGCTAGTTGCACACAAGTACAGTTTAAAATATTTCCAATTAAACTCACTGTAGGAGTTGGCTATTTTAATTTCTTTCCTGGGATTTATTTCATTTTAATGGAACATAAAATAATTTTCTATTGTTTTATCCAGAGGAGTCATTCTTTCATTAATATTTTAAATGTCCTAATATTTGTTTAAAGACAAACTAACAAATCAGGGGGCAGTCATAGACTCAATGACACAGATCAAGCCAGGCTGATCGCCGCTGTAAGATGAACGCTCAGGGAACAGCAGAGTACAACGCTCTCTTCCCAGCAAAGCTCCATTTTTTTAGGGTCTTTGTTTCTTGATTTTAATGCATTGTTGTCCATACAGCACGGAGATTTAAGGATAAAGGAGAAGGATATAGAAGTAATTTGAAAGAAGAAATTCACAACTTCATTTGCTTTCCCTGTGTCCACCGAATGCCAAGTTCTCCCATTAAAAACACTAGTTTTCTAGCTAATAATGCTGCCAGTAGTAGTTCCTGCTCTGCGGTTCAGACGGCTTCGGGAGCTGTGTGGCTGCAGCCTGTACGAGAGTTCATTCCTAGCAGGATTTCAAGCCCTCATGTAAGTGAAAATGAAGTTTTTGACACCGGAACAAACGTTTAAACTTAAGCGCTGAAGTGGTCTGCTGCCTGGCAGTGAGTTGCTGAATTGGTACCAGAGCTAATCCTCACGGACCTAATTATCTGTGGCAGAGATGTGGCGTGGGGAACGCTGTAGATTTGCGGGAGGCGGGGGGAGCGGCAGGTCCCGTGGCAGTGTTCTGTTCCAACTGTACCTCACTACCTGCTGTAATTCTCCTGCGGATTTTCACGTTGCGAGGATGTTTCTTAGCCGGAACTGTCAAGGAGGTTTGCAGCCTGGCAGGAGGGGGGAATAATCTGGTGGTTTGAACATGGGTAATCCCGAGTCAGACCGAAACAGTGCAGGCAGGCACGGCTAACGAGCGTGAGGGAACAGTAAACACAGCTAATCGAAAAACAAACTTTTAAAGTTGCAGATGAGACCAAAATCCGCTGGATTTTGCGGTTCATCTGGTTTAGAATTACTGATGCAGGCAGTGGGCAGATTCACAAAGACACCATCACTTTGCTTCCCCCTTCAATCGCAGTCGTCATGTTTTGCACATGAAAACTCACCCTGTCTCTTTATCTCGAAGAAGATAAAGTGTGCAACTCCACAGCAAGAGCAAATCCTTACTAAGCTGTGCAAATGCAGGATGTAGGTCTACTACAATTAAGCTTTTATCGTTTTTAGAATACCCGGAAACTGAATCTGATGTATAAACGCTAATATTGAAGGTCACGCGATCTGTGTCTTTCATCCCTCTGTAAGGACAACACGCTTACTAGGACCCTACCTGATTGATGTGATGTGTTGGCCACGCTGAATTAACTCCTCTAACTTTGATCACAGGGGTAAATACATGCTGTCTCACTACCACTTTACAAATTCTGCCGGGCAGCGCTGCCAGTGACAGGTTTGTTCTGGCTTTGGCTATAAATCCCAGTCATAAAGAAGAGCAGCAGCAATAGTTATTTTTTGAGTGATTCTAAGGAATGTACAGCTGTCTCAATTTTAGCTTCTCCCATATAATACAATAAATGTAATACAACGTGAGATATCACTTGAATTTTATAATCTGATTTTATAATTTGAATTATTTGTTTTACATAAGAAGCAAAATGTAATGACAGTGGCTTAGCAAGCAGAATCAGAAAAAAAGCACATTTTCTTGTAATTCTTTAAAATATTTGTGCTGACCATATTCTGTTCATGCCAAGATTATTTTGTGTCAGGAACCATGTCAGAAAGTATAGAAAAATTTAGAGTTATTGTCAATTACAGATACATAAATGAATCGTCAAATACATTTTCAAAGTGATATTTTTATGTCTGAAGACTCCAAACCCAGCAGCTTTGCATTTTATATGCTTTGTAAAAATGTGAAAAGTTCAGTGATACACCACTTAACAGTATTACCAGTTTTCAAGGACTGCACTGCGGCATCTTACCTCTTTTCTTAAGGGATCTATTAATGCAGTAATAAAAGGAAACTTATTAATCAGTTCCACGTACATGTCGACCATTTCATCAGGACTTTTGAACGTCCCAGTAGCTATTTCATACTTCCCTTTCACCTAGGAAGTAAAGTGAAAAGCATGAAAGCTGAGGAAGGCAATACTTTCAAACTGTTAGCATGCAGATCTTGTGACACTCGTGTCTCTACCAAGCTCGTGGATGGTGTGTTCCTCAGGAAGCGCACACTGGCTTGTCTATGTACAGTGTTACAGAAAACTCGGCCTGAAGGAACAGTGGGTTCCAGGGGGCTGATGCCAAAGCCTCTGAGAGATGCCACTCCCCAAACAAGGGAGATCTTTTTCATCGTTTTCCAGGCAACTCTGCTGGTTTTGCAGTACTTTATCACAAAGGGAGCAATATTGGACATATGAAAAATCTCACTTCTCACTTCTAAAAAAAGGTAATTTTTTCTCCCCATTTTCACATAGAAAATACTGCTCTGGGAAAGGAGTGCACCTTCAGCACTTAAAACCCAGATACTGCCTTTCCTTGCCTCCTTCCCCTCGCAACACAGGAAGACTGGTTTAAACCAGTCTCATCAGTATGGGAAGCACAGGCTGCAGCGTACGGGGGCTGTTGAGGCACGCCGTGCCGGGACAGCCACTGCTTTGGTGACCTGTGCAGTTCAGTAACAGCACGTTGCAGAATTACTGATAATTCGCTGGTTAAGATTCTGCTCATTCTGGTATAGGATACAGATACCGCAAATTGCCAGGAAAGCAACTGCCGTCATGATATTAATAATGGCAGGTTTGTCACTATAGTACACCCAAATACACAAAATCTCCTGAGCTGTTAAATGGAATAGGAAGGTTCTTTTTTTGCTTAGGAGAAACCTGATTGGTCGTGGAACAGGTTGAGTAACTTTAAGACTTCAGCCGGAGAGAAACAAACTTTGTCAAATAAAAATCTTGTAAAATAAGAATTTAAACCCGAATGTTGATACAGAGTGAGATGAATGTCAGTGGGTATGCACGCGTACCATAGCAAAAATGCACAGAAAGGTCAAGGTAGTTTGAGGAAAACAAGAGATGTGATGCAATAACGGGGAGAAAGAAGCATCTAGTGGTGTGAAGGTATTACAGAAGTATACTTGTGTAAATAATTTCTTCTCTTCATCCTTGAAAGCAAGGTGGATAGAAGATAATTATTTAGTTCATACATGGAAAAAACCCCAAAGATTTGCTGCTAATACTTTAATCCAAAATTGTCTGATATGTAATGTGAAGTGAAGCTGGTTTGTTAAAAAGAGCATGTAGTAGGGTGTTTGACCATTAGAAATTTTGCTATAAAATTTGCTATATTTGACACAGACTGACCTGAAAAAACCTCTTATTAAGTAAACAGAGGAAAGGAATAAACCTGGCTGATGCAGGCAGGCTTCTACCATTTGAATGATTACAGTTAAACAATGAAAGGGGGAGAGATTCCTGTAGGCAGGACATAAACTGTAATGGGGCTCTGCCGTGCTCCTGTGAGCCTTGCTCCGCGCGCAGTGCACCGCCAGGATGCTGGCAGGAGGAATACGTGCGTTCGCACTGCTCCCACGGCACCAAGCGACCCGAAGGACGCCTGCCTGTCTCATCCCCTTGCACTCCCCATCCAGTAACAGATCTGCTACGCTTGTAGGACTGATTCAACCCTAAATTATAAATGCAGAGACAATTCTTTTGGTTTGACTGATTGCTACTTCCAAAAGTGGAGTGAGAAGCTTCTAGGTGAGTTTGCAGTGTGATAGATGATAAATAATAAATAGCTACATTCCTTTTAAACACCAACCAAGTAGATACTGAAAGTAACTTACATAATCCATTAATTCATGAGCAGCACAATTCATTGCTACATACATGTCTGTTCCTAGCTCCAGACCTATATTGTGGCAAGCTGTTTGCACTAGGAGTAGCGGTTGTTCTAGATTATCACATCCTGTTACTGGGCATCCTAAGTGTGATATTCTTTTTAAGGCTCGTGGCTGAAAGTAAAACAAAAATAATCACTTTATTAGCACACAAGTATATACATACTGCTTATACATATATTTTCACTGTCATTTCAGTCTGCATTGACTCATCAAAATACAAGTCTATTCTCAGAAACTGCATTCACACCTTTAAGGACAATTCTCCATGAATGAGGGGTAACCAGGTGCTAATGAGTAGAGCACTAATAGTCTTTGGAAATATGTCTGCTCATGTAGTTCTCACTCTTACAAGGCCAGGACTGGTTTAAAAAAAGATTTTAAAGGCACTCTGAACAACCACTGAGTTATCATGGATGCTATGTGAAAGTTTCCGGTGCTGCGGACCATCCCTTTGTCACAAAAACATATTCTCCACTTTCAAACTGCTTTTACTCATCTATTTTCACCTGCAACTTTGATATTGCCTCTGTGGAGTGTTCAAGAAACACCAGAATCTTCCAAGACTTCCAGAAGGAGCAAACGACAGAGGGGGAAATAACCCTAGCACGGTTGCACGTCTGAGCCAGGCACAGCATGAGCCACAAGCAGAGTTGCATCGAGCAATTATTTTACATCTCCTTCTGTCGTCAGGGCTTTTTGTAGGTTTTTCAAACACTGATTTTTAACTTTAAAGTCTGTGAATTTTGGATTATAAAGAATGACACTAACTTGCCCAGAAAGCAGCAGGACATAATCCTGAGTAGACTGGAGAAGTCAATTGGCAGGCATTGGTTCTGACGAGAGTTTGAGAAGTAACTAGAGCGGCCAGAACAGAGGCCTAGCTACAGAGGACGTATGAATGTTCTTGCACATAAAAAGTTAGGAAGAAAAAGCACGTCAAATTGTTATGAGATCATTCTGTAGCAATCTGCAAGGACAAACACCTCTTTCACTTGTTGCTTTCGGAGCACTAGGCTGCAGCAATCAGGGGTAAGAAGTAAAGTAAGTCTTCTTGCATTTAACATGAGGTGGAGGTTAAGTCTGCATTTTCAAGTGATTTTCAAGGTACCCGTATGCTGTGCCTTGTTGCATTCCACTGAGAGAAATCTTTATCTTTAGAAAAACATTTTTTTCTGTCTAGTTTTTACTTCTATAACCTAAACAAGTTTTTCTTCTTCACCGCCTTTGTCATTTGTCCTTTTTTTCCCCTGAAAAAGTTCAAAGTTACATGGTGCTTTTATCAGTTTAAATTTCAGTCTCAGTACCATCTCCTCTAGTTTTCTCCTATTGAAATAAATGGATTTTTTTTTTTTGCAGTGACTCTAACACAAGGTTTCCTTGTGCACAGTTTAAGGAATTATTTTAACTTGTGACTGCAGTACATCTTATGATAAGAATATGGAAATTACCCACCAGAAAAACAGTGGCCAGCTGCTTAATGATGATGAATTTTGTGTTGTTTAAGCAACAAAAAACAACAGGAAAACTTTTGTTCCTCCTCTCTTTTGTATACTCCACAATAGCAACAATTCTCACCTGACAATATTTTAATTGGAGAGAAAAACTGGCATGGCATTTCCATCCCGCTATTTGGAAAACTCATCTATAAACTACAGGTTGTGAACTGATAAAAAAAAAGATCATTTGAGTCATAGAAAATAACATCCTGTGCAGTATTGTTGAGTTCTGCCCTTTGGCTACTGATTCCTATCTGCCGTTACCTGTAACCTCAAGCAGGAACTGGGAAGTTAATGCAGCATGCCTCAGAGGGGAGTTACGCTCCCAGAGTTAAGAAACAGTGCGAGATGCAAGTTGTACAGGTAATGGTCTTACAGCCTATATGATCAAAAGGGCATGTTCTCTGCTGGTGCTACAGGCCTGCAAAATGCTCATTTGGATAATTTATCAGGATTTCTATATGAATAAAATGACCAGATTCCAGAAGAATTACCCCTATCTGTTACTGTGCCACAGGAAGGGAAGGTATACTCAGAAGAATCCAAATGATTACATAAAATATGAGCATTTGGAATATTTAAAAGTCTTGCCTTGACCTTTTCATAATGGTAATGTAGATGAACATCTTGGTTCCCTGCTGTTGTTAATACCTTGCTGAAGGCTTACAATGAAAATCTCTTTTCTTACCGGAGCTTTCTTCCCTGTGTTATGTGCTCTGCCTTTCTTACTGTCTGCTACTTGAGGACTGGGCTGTTGGGAGGGAAAGAAGAAAGAAATCAGTTCCATGGAAAAGTTCAAAAATGACAGAGAGACCCCAGAACCAAGAAAATAATAAAAATAAATAAAAAAAAAAACCCAACTAAATTTTGCTCTACAGAGATTGCAAATCCTTCAGATAGGAAATAGCTTCTGTTTGGCTTGAACACTATCAGCAACTGTCCAATTTTATTCTGTGGTGGTAATTAATTTCAAATGTTTATTTCTATGTGGGCATGACCCCAACCATCATTTGTTTTTCAAAATATTCTCACCTAGCCTACCAAAAACACAGAGGATCTCGGAAACAAGAATCTAGAGTCTGTACTTGGAGAAACCCAACAACCTCATTGTGCAAAACGTGTAGGCACATACGGAGACTGATACACTACTACAGGAACAGTACATGAATAACCTGTCGCACGTGGGTGAGACTTAGCAAGATCAGAACCATACACTCCCGGTTAGTTCTTCAGGTAAACACAAAGTCTTACTGTTCTTAGAACAATGTTTTACTCTGTCTTTGTTATATTAATATCACCAAATGGCCCACGTTGTATTCAGCTGTCAGAGGAACACATCTTCGATTCTCTGCCATAGGGCTAAGCCTGACAAGAGGCTAAATGTTCCATGTTTAAGCTTAAAAAGACAACAGTAGTAGAAAGACCAAATGAAGTACATCATGTTATCACCACACATTTTTATTGTACCGCTTTCCCTGGGGACTCCAACAGTCTCATCATTTCTTTCTGAATATCCAGAACTCTTTCTATGCCCTGAAATTAAACAACAGTAATTAAAAGAAAGATTAATTATTTCATTTTAGCAGCTTAAATCACAAGAGAGAGAACATTTATTCTAAATGCAGAACTTTTAATATTACGTATTTAAAAAAAACACCACTATTATAGACTTCCTTAAAACAATCCCCCACCCACAAAATGCAGTCAAGTGTCCGATGATAAAGGGTTAGTAGAGGTGGAATGAACAGGAATATTTGATTATGCCGCTGAATGGGATGGCAAGAAAAGTAGTCTTTTCTTCCCCAAAAGGAACCCTTTCCAAACTTAACTAGTAAGCAATACCTGGTTCTGTGTAATATCTGAGAAATGGGAAGATGGTAATCACTGTTGATGGTTGTGACTCCATGTATGACTTCCTGACTGGGACCTCTGGCAAAACTGAATGTATCTACCTTTAGAACATTTCCAGGAAGCAGGGAAAAAATTGCTGCCTTCATTTTAAACACTGGGGAATGGAGAAACACTCCAATAAAATGAATCCATTGTTTTTAACACAAGACACTCCTTCCTTTTCAGCTGTTAGTAAAAGTTTAATGCTAATTTGTAAATCACATTTCAGATTTTCTTAAACTGTGCCAGTAAAGGAATACTGAAGGGGGCAGAAGTCAGTCACAGCTGACAACACATCAACACAGGACGACTGGCTAGGTTTTTTGCACTGCAGCAAACAGCTTGCTACTCTCCCATGAGCACTAGGAGGCATTATGTCTTTGAAAGGTACAGAATTAGCAACCTTATTAAGAGCTCTTGGTGACAATGCTAAAAAAGTTAAAGGAAAAAAGGAAAAAGAAAGAGAATCGAGCTCAGCTATTTGTTCAGGTCACCAGCACACAAAGCAGAAAACACAGCCCTAATGTAGGCATCTTGTGCAGCTCCATTCTTTATTGCAACACATGGCTAAACAAAAAGAGAGGGTTGATCCAGCCTGCCTCATCCGTCCTTCTTGCCCCTTGAATAGATTTTGTTCTGCTTTGTATCCCCTTCTATCTCCACGATTTCATTTTCAAAGCTATTTATTATTTCCTGTGAATTTGTTACGAGTTTTGTTGTTTTGTATGCTCCATCAATCAACTCACACTATTTATAATCTACTAATGTAAAATTCGAAACAAAATTGAAATCTTACTGTTGAGTAACACAATTCCCCTACATCTTCTTCAATGCACTGATTTTATGCTTCTGTACTAACACATACATTTTTAATTTCCAGTGTCAATGTATCTGCTTTTAACTCTTCACCTATTTACCTCATTTAATGTTCCTTGTGTGAGAATTCTGCACTCATGTTTGTTAAAACTTTGGCCTTGCAAACAAACAAAAAAATGAGAAATACAGGTTGTAAGGAATACACTGAAAAAATCTATATACTTATGTGCATATGTAGTTTATAGCAAGTCTATAGAATACATTTATAAAGCTGAAAATGAAGCAGTACCTGTCTGAGTGATAACTGAACTGGTGGTATAAGCAAAATTTCTTTCACTAATATCAGCTTTGCAGGTGAAATTTTTTCACAGTTCAACAGAGTAACCATTGGGAGTGGTAGAGTCATTTCTCTAGGTGAGTTCTGTAATTGGGAGTACCATGTGAAAATAAAAATGTTAAAGATCAGAATAATTTATTATATATTTGAATTATAGCACAGGGTTCAAAGACTGAATGCAATGGCCTGAAGAGTGTATTCTGTGAGATATATTTAACACCACTGTCATGGGGGTTTCAGTACTGGCTTCAGAATTCTACAACAATTGTGATAACTGGGAAAAAATAAACACAGTTATGTCACATGTACCTGATCGTGTTTCAGCAGCGCAATATGTAAATACAGTGGGATACGGCTGATGGTGGCACCAGCCTTAGCTATAGCAAGTGAGGTTCCCCCAATGGCTAAGCTGCCGCAAAGCACTGCCTCAGGGGGGTCTGCAGGTGGGATTGTCCTCTCTGCAACTGCTGACTTCTTTCCTGTAAGACAGACAGTAGTAGCTAAATGTCTCCTTGGTTTAAAACGTGTGCTTGTGTATCACAGCTGTATCAGTAAATACGATATTGTCATGTCAGATGTACTCCGTGTATCACAAAGGAATCATTCTATTTTTTAAACTTAATCTTGGCGGTTGTTTTACATGAAATGACCTTACAAGTAAGTAAAGTATCTGTCCTCCCTCACTCTAGCATCAAATGTATTTCAAATCCACTTCTTTTGCAGATCTTTCAGCCACTGAAATCTGTATTTTTATTAACCAATGCTTATGTTTAGTAATGTTATATACATAATTCTCAGAAGCATGATTTCAGTATGCTTTATCGTCCTCCCTATATGCTCAGCTTTTGCATAAACACCTTAGAAGGTTCCATAACCTGACTGGGAGTACACATACGTGATTTCTCCTAATGACAGTGGAAAAAAAAAATGTAGGCCTATTACAGTTGGATTTTCCAATGAGAACAGGTCTTTTAAATATTCCACGTGCATAGTCTTGTTAAATTTTCAAAACAACCTATTTCTCTTTCAGATACAGCAGAGTAACTTTTGTCAAAACGCCTGAAATCCAGCTGTTCCCACTATCATATTTACTGCCTACAGCACTCACATGAACTCATACAGTAAGCACCTATGTGAAAGCCAAAGAAGCAGTCTGATTCTCCAGAATCATATACATTGGCAGCTTTTTGTAAATCTGACCTATTACTTTGGTTCCTAGTAGGAGTGCTGTACAAGTATTGATTTCAATAAAATATAAATACTACAGGATATAATTGGTATTTTATGATAAAATATTCTTAGTAGGACCTTAACTGGACACGCAGACTAGATTAGACATCATTTGTGTAGTACACATAGGTCCTATAACCTCTTACGTGGAGTATGAAGAGCTACACCTATCGACACTAGTAGTAAAGTACTGAGCAAGTGACAAACCGCAGCGTTTTGCAGAGATCCTTTACACCACACTACTTTGTAACCTGCTTTATCACTTTTAGCTTCATAATCATTGGCTCCCAATGATCAGGTATTGATTCTAGCAATAATATTGCAGTCAGTATCACAATCAAAGAGAAAGAAAATAATTAGTGAAAGCAAGTCATACAGGTATCAGCAGAAGCGTGACTAAAGGTACAACATACAACATGATGATAGCTGGGTGGACCTGGCAAGGGCAGATGTTACATTTCAGGTCCAAGGTGAACTTTCCGTGCACACATCTAACATATTGATTGTGGGGTTTTACTGATAGTATATGACAGTTGAAACTAAACTCATCAGAAATAATAATTCACCAAAATGTTCTGCCCTTTCAATAAGTCATAACCAACCTTTTTCTTCTGAGGGTAATACATACATGAAGGTAACATATGGTGCTTTTTTCCTTTGAGGTTATTTTTGGCCATGTACACTTACCCTGTTTCTCTCACCATCTTTTCTTTTAGTAGCATTGTTTACTTACTTCTTCTTACTCTGTACTGCCCATCATTCCCATCTAATCCCTGCCCTTATTTCTCTTCTGGTTTTCACCTTATTTCCTCCTTTCTCAGTGTCAGCAAGAAACTTCCCTTCCTCCCTCTTTCCATTCTTTCAACTTCTATCTTAATTCTATTTCCATTTTCCTGTTCAGTTCTGTGATTCCCTATTCTTTCCTTATAATTTTCATTTTTATTCTTCATTTGCATCCTCCTCCATTCTTATTCCTCACCCTGAAGAGTAATAACCTCCTGTCTAAGCCAACTGTAAAATAAAGCCAGAAACTCTGTTCAGCCAGTGCATATGAATGATGAGAAAACTCTGTACTTCTCCTCTCATTTCTGCAGTAGAAACTGCTGTGATCAGAAAGATTTAGGACAGAGTAACCAAACCCTTTGAATAGACTGTGGCATGTGTCCTGAAGAACTGCATACCCATGGAATTCTTCATGGGCATGGAATACTTCAGAAAGTATTTTAGCACCTCTATCAATATCTGTATTGCAGAAAATATTAGAATCAGTGAAACCAAAACCTGGTTTTGCTGCCTTTCTTCCCCCAGGTAATGCTGTTGCTGATGGAGTGCATGAAGTAAGGTCAAGAGTGGCTTCTGCTGCTTCTTCTTCCTGCTTTTGGATTTCTTTTTTTTCTTCTACCTTTTTTGTAAAGTATTCGCTGAGGAAAGAGGCAGAAAGTTTACTGGCTCGAAATATCGTTAGATATGTGACTAGTAGGCATAGGATACAGGCTAAAGAACATGCTAAGAAGGAGATTAAGGGGATCTATTCGAGCTTCTGCCATGGACTCGTTGTGCGAAGCTGGAGAAGTCAATAAACAGCATTATTTTTAGGTAGTCATCTACTTACCATGTTAGTTAAACAAAAGAACCACAAGCAAGAATTATAAACCTTGCCACATCCTTTTTCAAATCACTCTGGTTTGAAAGCCAGCTCTGTGCAGACAATCTTAGCGTGAAAGATGTGTTTGCTGTGCATGGATAGTCACGGATCCTGTCATAACTTCATGACAACAGCTTGGCCGAGGTTGCTAATCCAATAGGTCAGTTGTATCCTGGTTATCTAAGCGGCTGCAGGCTCAGAGTGGCTGAATTTCAATTACATGCACGACGTGGAAACTGCATACGTGGGTCACAGTCCCCCAGTTCAGGTAAACTGAGCATGTAAGATATATCAAGTAGTGTAAATAATGCATTAAAATCTTATTTAGACTCACTTCAGTTGGAAGAATTTATTTCCAACTGAGTCCTTATTCCCTTCATCGAGGTCTTCCCCAAGCTAATCCACGTGAAAGGCAATTAGGTCTGTTTGCTACAGCCTGTGCTAAGCGTGGCAGCCCAAGCGCTACCCCTCCAGCAAAGTGTCGTTCCCCTCAGCGATGTAGCTAAAAAACCACTACAGAACAGGAAGACAGGCCATATTACTGCTTCCAGGGTGAAGAAAGCCATAATGTTGCCAGGTAGCTCCTCTAATGTTACCTAAAAGGTACATTCAGATATGTCTGTGATACTTCTACTTTACCGCTTTTTTCTTATAAAATCCCATCCATATTTCTTTTTATGCAAAAATATGGCTGTTCTTTTTCACTTTGGGATGCTCCCAGGAAGAAATATTTGTATGCAAAAAATAAACATGGCTGTTTACTAACGAAACTGTTTCCAAATAAATTAATTGCCCCAAGTAAGAAGCCTTTTGCAGTAGATTCCTCAGAAAGAAAACCCCACCAGAACCTGAAAAGTGGATGAATCTACATGTTTTCTGTGGATTAGCTCACCGCAGAAGACACACACACAGGCCTTTCGTACCACTTTTGTTTTGCAGTGCAATGAGCAGAAGAGGAGTCACAGTCCGAAAACGACGTCACACACTGAATTAAGCTGGCACTGAATGAGTTTCTTAAACGAAGCCTTTGACTGATGAACGTGTTCAGGCATTTTTTTCTGAAGCCCTCATTTTTGCATCCTATGTATGAAACCTTGTAAAAAATAGGGCGATTTGCATATCGTAATTATGAGAAAAGCAGGAAGTAATATAATGCAGCGTATCTGAGACAGACATCACATCCTAAACATATATAAAAATAATAGTAGAAAACATTGAATATTCTGTTTTTCATTTTCAGTATAAATGAGTGGTGTATATCTCGAACGCAGTAATTTGCGTAACACGTGAGACCTACCCAAGCATCTTATCGACTTGACGCTGGTCAGTAGGCTGCAAGTCTCTTAGCATTGTGTTCAGCGACTCATTGACCCATTCCACAGCAGTGTTAACGGAGTCATTCCTCTCTTTCTCATCAGCTTCGGTTGCTTCAGGTAAAGCATTTTCAGGTATTTGAGAATGAGAGGACATTACAATGGAACAAATCCTCTGAAAAAAAAGTAAAAAAGTTGAAAACACTCTTTAATTCCTAACTTGGAAATGTCATTTGAAAAATGACATTCTTTGAAGAAGCAGCAGCTCATACCTTCTCATAGTTTTTAACTGTACAGTATATTTCCACTTCTAGTGTTGGCTGACCAACTCCATCAAGAACTTTTCTTCCAACTACTTTGCGTATTACTGGAGCATTTGAAAATTTAGAAAAGTAGTTAGCCTTAAACGAAAGAGAAAGTAATTAAAAGTCAATTTCAATGCAAAGAGGTTTTTATTCCATTAAAAATATTTAAATCAAAGCCACCATTGAGCAAATCCATCTATACGTCCCAGTATTCAAAATACTTGTGTTACACTGCAAATTTACTTCAATATTATCTGCTTAAGAATGGGATTCCAGGGAACAGCTCCAACACGTATCTAAGCATGGAAGTCCAAAGCCACATCCAGGTTAGATGAATATGTGTTTTATTTGGCAAAGTTAGGAATGAGTATCAAAATCTCCTTAACCCTCCTAAAAAACAGGTGTTTGTCCAAAGCTTACTTGGCTTTGCACTGAATAACAAAAACAGTCACCATGCTACTCATTAAACTAATTTTTATTAGAATTCACATAGCCTCCACTTCCCCAGTGCAGTGAGCTGCTATGAAGTGATTTTTTCTGTGGATAAGGTCTTGAAAAAATACATGTCTCCTCTCTCATAAGGAGAGAAGAAAGATCCTGGAAAAGAAAAACTCTTAGAAACACATAGAGAAGTCTACTAGATCCTAATGTTGTATTAAAATTCCTGTACCATGATTTCATTTATTATTAACAAGTAGTTATTAAGCTTTAAAATAATGTTGTATTTTTTTTCCTTACCAAACATACTGGAAACAATATTTAACAAAAATCCTCCCCATCAGACAAAGTTGTCACGTGAAACACTATGCATAAAATTTTCTATGTATGTGCTGCAGACAGGGAAAAATGAGAAGCATTTTCAGAATATACTTCTGGCTTATAGAAAGTACTTAATGTCCTAAATATCTAAAAATGTTTAAGGTTGCTTCATCAAATACACACGTACAGTGGCTCGTGTGTCTCAACACTCAACCCATGCAATATTAAAGGTGTTCACAGTAAATGAGTTATTCTTGTCAGCAAGCTCCTCAATAACAGTGATAACTGCTCCTTTTGTAGACACCTCTCTTTCAGAACATACTTAGTATAAGGTTATTTATCATGATGACCAAACTCTGCTAATTAGAAGTGGTTTTTTGGTTGGACAGAACGGAACTAAGGCTGGCACAATCTGAAGGAGTCGCACGTATGCTGCATCTAGTAACAGGGCACACGACAACTGATGTAAGGGTCACTACTCCAATGGAAATCTGGAATTTTAGGTTAGTAAGCTTTGAGCTCTGTGAGAAAGGTGAAAACCTAGACTTCGGGCAGGCAGAGTTCTCCTACTTCATCCAGCATGGTCTGACTTCTTCCAGCATGGGCCGGTTGAACTGTCATCAGCCAACTATGAGAATATATTTGGGGCTCTGCCCATATTTAATAAACAGCGACATTGCTTTAAAAAAAAGGATTAAGTTGCTACCTGAGGTTACCACATACTTCCTTACTAGTTTCATCCTTTAGTCTGGTATTGGAGACAGTCACCAAACCATGACTTCCTAACTGGGAAAACTAGGAAACACTTAAAAGTTCCAAACACAAAACAAAACAAGAACAGGTGTTACCAGTTCTAGTCAAAACAAAGTGACCAAACACCTGGAGATGGGAAACAAGATGCAATTAAATATTTCCTTTCCAGAGCCACTTCCTCATCAAAGAACATACTGGAAATTATTTGTTTTCAAGACTTGCTCACTACTGTAGTGTTGGCAATTCCAGTATTGCTGCTAATAGATGTTTCATTCCGTCTACACTATTTTGCCAACTGAGAACAGATAAAATCGGTCTGATTCTTGACACTTCCATGGAGGCCCATCTGCTTTTCAGGAACAGCTGCAGTGTGAATAGCACCCAGTGCCCTGAGACATCAGCACGCTGAGCGGCGGTTTATTAGGGATGTCCGTCTGTGCCCTCCCAAGGCGACATACCCTGGGCTTTGTCCAGCACAGGACAAAAAGCCCCACTGCTGGGGAAATGTGTTTGGCCCAACGTCAAAGTGCCACTGGTCACAAACACAAAGCCGTTGCAGACCTTGTCTCAGGCAGTGGGAAATTATTTAAGCTTAATTTCAGTCACAGAGACGTGGTGCTCCCCGCATCAACCCGTCGGTTTATCAAGGCCCTGGGGTGGGCGGGCAGCAGCCTCCTTGCCTGAGGGCAAGCAGAGGGCCCGGCGCCCACGCCGGGGGCTGGGGGAAGGTGCGGTACGGCGAGCACCCACGGGGAGCGCCCCGCTCCCCCTTGCACGCCGTTCCGCCGCCCCGGAGCA